GTGATTTAAGTGACTTTGAGCGTGGCATGGTAGTTGGTGCCAAACAGGCTGGTCTGAGTATTTCAGAAACTGCTGATCTATTGGGATTTTCACGCACAACCATCTCTAGGGTTTACAGAGAATGATCGGAAAAAGAGAAAATATTCAGTAAGCGGCAGTTCTGTGAGCTCAAATGCCTGTTGATGACAGAGGTCAGAGTAGATTTGCCGGACTGGTTAAAGCTGATAGAAAGGCAACAGTAACTCAAATAACCACTTGTTACTACCGAGGTATGCAGAAGAGCATCTTTGAATGCACATCGAACATGTCCAACATTGAGGAGGATGGGCTACAGCAGCAGAAGACCACACCAGGTGCCACTCCTGTTAGCTAAAAAAAGGAAACTGAGGCTACAATTCATTCAGGCCCCTCAAAAATGGATAATAGAACATTGGAGAAATGTTGCCTGGTCTGATGAGTCTCAATTCCTGTTGCAACATTCGGATGGTGGGGTCAGAATTTGGCATCAACAACATGAAAGCATGGATCCATCCTGCCTTGTATCAAAGGTTATATATATATATATATATATATATATATATATATATATCCAAGTTTACAGTATACAACATTATTTTGTAGAAATTCTATGAATTAAACTGCACAGCCCAAAAGAAACAATGCTAATCAAAAGGATAAGTGTTGACTCTCTATAAAACAAATATGATTGATTTTGTTATTTAAAATGTTTGCATTTATGAGGAAAGAGCTTCGTTGTGGATGTGACACCTCTCAGTTAGGGATATGACTGATGTGAAATTTCCACTTGTGTGACATTTGGTAAATCAAATAGAACAGTTTGAAAATACTGACAGAGACGTTTTTGCATATTTTTAAAGTACTGCAAAATACTTGCTTACACAAAAAAATGTATAAGCGATTTCTCTATTTTGCTGAAAACTGAATTTTTGTAGTGGCAAGTTTCATTTGCATGGAATTGCTCAAATCACTTTATGTACTAGTTTTTTACTTAAAGTGTGGAACTTATATTTTGTTTTTGTGTAAAACATTTTCATTTTTGGATAGACCATTTGGCACCTGCTGCTTCAATCATGTTTCCAGTGCTTGTTGCTCTGTTGTTGGTTTTAGATAAAACCGTTTTTAATGACTTCTCTCCTGGCCATCACATCTGATATCATCTTTCTTTTTATTCTTTGAAACCATTTAATCAGTCAAACTTAAAGGCTTAATTACCTTTCATTGATTTCATTACAAACTGAACCGAAAGAATGATCATAGACTGACAGCCCATGCTGAAGCAGAGTATAATGAATATGCAGCTCAGAGCAGTTCATTTTATTGCATTAAGATTTAAGTCACGAGTCAGAAGAAAGTCACAATACACAAAAACACTTTACCCATACTTCCTGCATCATTGCCTTTCACCTGTCCAAGCATTCATCCATTCATGAATTCATTCACTCACCTGTCCAATCATGCAATCACCAATTCATTAGTCCATCCATCCATCCATCCATCCATCCATCCATCCATCCATCCATCCATCCATCCATCCATCCATCTATCCATCCATCCATCCATCCATCCATCCATCCATCCATCCATCCATCCATCTATCCCACCACCCATTAATATATCCACTTGTATATATATACACACATACACATCTATGCAATCACCATCCATCCATCCATGCAACTGCCATTCATCCACCCATGCACCTACAAGCCATCCATCCATCCATCCATCCGTTCATTCATCCGTCCATCCATCCTGTCCATCCATCCTGTCCATAAACCCACCATCAACCATCTGTTCAATTCTTAATTATACAATACATTTACTTTTTTATTATTACAGAATTTGGTTGCAAGATGTACCTGTGCGATCCTTTATGTTCCTGCTAATATATGAGCAGTTTGTTTGAAATATTTTTTCTCTGTCAACAGATTTTCTCTTGACTTTACCAGTTACCCTCAACTTTTATCTGCTAATTAAGTTTCAGAGTGTGAGATTCAGGACATGCTGCAAGAACAAAGCATTTGTTTTGTGTTTGATTAGATTAGAGCAATTATCTTAAGTTTGTTTGTTGGAAGCACTCCTGCTTTAGAGCTTTGAAATCTTGAAAAGGATTCATGAATTGATTCATCTTTAAGGACTTACAGAAAAAATGCACTAGTGGTTTAACAGAGAGGGCTCAAACTTTGTAAAAGTTGGGAAAACTGCATTTTTGTGTCAGAATATAACATGAAATGTGCTGTTTATTGCAGGGATTGTTCACATCTGTTTACGTAAAAGATCAAAACAAGAAAGTTAAGTTCTTAAGAGTGATCGGATTTCCCCTTTCCTTCACCTGAAATAATTTGCATAATGGGAAAGTAGTTTAGAAGTCTGCAAAGGCTTTGGTTTGCAAGTTCTCTTGATCTTGCTTCATTACTCTACCCACATTGCTTCTGCTGTTGTGATCCTGTTGAAAATTCATATTTATTTCTCCTGCAGCTTTGCTGTGCCAAGAGATTGCTGCAGTATTTTAATAAAACCTCTGTGGAGAAAAGAAACTGACTACTGTATTATATTTTTCATTGTTAGATTGGTAGGATCCCTGTGCTCCAATAAAAAAAACTGTAGACCTCTTTTTCATTAATCTTTATTACCTTGGAAAAAGACAAACCCAATTTATTCATTTATTTGGACTTTTCTGTAGTATTCTTGTATTTTACTTCGTTTTTGTACCCTGCCATGTATCATAAATCTAGGAAATGTGGATTGTAGAAGGTGTTTTACTCGAGTTGTTTGGAGTTTAAAATGAAATTACAGTACAATTTAAACATACAGCGGGGAAAATTAGAATTGAACTTGTCATGTTTTTTCTGGGAATAATGTTTCTAATGGAGCTGTTGACATGGAATTGAACCAGAAATTTAGTAAAAACCCAAATAATACAAACATAAAAAAAACAGAACAAAAATTTTATGTGTAATAACACCAAGGAGAAAGTACTGAACTACTGAACGTATTTAATACTTTATATAAAAGGCTTTTTTAGTGATGGCAGCTTAAAGACGGCTCTCATATGAGAATGAAGTCAAATGCATTGCTCAGGTGTGAGTTTTTCACAGACTTCAACAGAGTGTCAAAATCTTGATGGTTCTTTGGGTCTCGTCTATCAAATCTCATCTTTAGTTTGTATTTTTTATTGGATTGAAGTCAGGTGATTGGCTGGGCCATTCTACAGCTTGATTTTCTTTCTCTGAAAGCCTCTGAGAGCTTCCTTGTTTGTGTTTTGTAATGTTGTTTGCTGAAATGTACAACCTAGTTTTATCTTTATCATCCTGCTAACGTAGATGTTGGACTGAAGCAGCTAATATTAATTTACAATGATGAAGGGCAGAGGGTTGCTGAAGAACTACTGAGATATTTCAGCTGCTGTCTGGGCTTTCACTGCCTTTCTACACCTCCCTTTCTTCATGTGTTCAATACTCTTTCATTTCATCATTTAATTTTATTACACATAACTTGTTTTCTGTGCATAAATAAATTTCTTTGGTTGTTACAATCATCCGGGGAAAATTTCAAGTCAACGGCACCTTTAGAAATATATTTTCTGAGAAAAATAGTGACAAGTTCAATACTTATTTTCCCCGCTGTATACCACTAACCATCTTAAGCACATGTTTCAAAGCCAGTTCATGGAGGGCCGCAGCTTTAACTAACAGTTTAGTTTTAACCCTAACTAAACACACCTGATCAAACTAATTGAGTGCTTTAGACTTGCTTGATGCCTACTGTACAGATAGGTGTGTTGAAGCAGGGCTGGAACTAAACTCTGGCTCCGGCCCTCCAGGAATTGACTTTGACACTACTGCTCTAAAGTAAGACAATACATAGTGACATAATAATACAATTTGATATAACTTAAAAACTATTTTATAAAACCCAGGCTCATTCTAATTACGCACCCCTATATACTTTTCTGGAGAGAGCAAAATACGTACATTCCAGGCGGTATGTTTTTTTGCAGTTTTTGTTTTTGGGAATTCACCAGAGGCCACCGTGTACACTTTTTCAGATCTTAAATTTTTCCTGCGAGTGCCATTCACGCCTGCTGTTCTCATGTAAATCCACTAGAGGCTGCTGTCGACTGACTGGCGACTGACTGACTGACTGACCAATCGACTGACCCACACTCCCTCTTCCCCAAACCCAACCAATAGTGTTTTGAAAAGCAGCGATTGACCCGTTCACTCACGTCCCTAAACATAATCGACAGTTTTTAAAAAGCAATCCAGAAAAAGAAAAGCCCCCTGATTTTTTACCACGTGTTCAGATTTTACCACTTTCTCATTCTGTTGCTTACTAGTTTATTTTATTTTAAAGCTTTTATTTTTGTCTTACCTGCTTTGTGAAACCATTCTTCACCGGACTCGAACCCCGTTGTTGCGGTCAACTCATCTCTGCGTCTCAAGTCTGTAGACGTACATGTTGAGCTACCAGACAAACTGGTAACAGTGGCAAAGCCGTCCGTACGGAGGAAATCGGTCAGCTGGTAAACACGAAAAAGAACGGCATTATACCGCCCCGTAGAATTCAATTTAAAGAAGAAATGCAGCCATACGTAGCTCTGGCTACATAATTTGCAATATCCAGAAATGTATATAGGGCTACGTTTTCTGAATGAGCCTATGTTGATTTTATTTGTATTTAAAATAATCACTCCTGTCCTCCAAGAAAAAGGTTCAGTATTTGAGGATTGAACATCAGCAAAAGAAAATGAGTATCTTCTGGTTGTTTAAAATGCATTCAACCACTTGGTTCATTTTATTAGCTGCCTTTAACCTCATGACATCAAACTATTTCAGCCAAATGATTCTTTCCCCCAAACAGTGTGTTCATATAAGTTTGTATCGATTGTGTGAAATGATTTCTACCTCAGCAGACTATCTGTACACACTCATAATATTAGTCTTTTAATAAGTGGATTGACTGTTTTTTTCCCGCAGGAGAGGAGAATCTATTGGCAATACTGAAAAGACGATGGTGGAAGTACATGATTCTGGGATTGATCGATATAGAGGCCAATTACCTGGTCATCAAAGCTTACCAGTACACCACACTGACCAGCGTTCAGGTAGGACATTCTGTTTACTCAGAGACCTTATTTGCAATGCCTCTGGGCAGCTATTTTAGGCATGACTGCCCTGTAAATGTTGTTCTTGTGGTCAGATAGCATTTAGGTAAAATTTTGGGTTGGTTAAGACAATGTTCATATCTTGGCCAGAGTAGAAATGTTGCTCTGACTGAGCCTGGTTTCTAACAAGATTTGCTCTTCACTTCTGTCAATTGTGATGTTTTTGATGTTCTTGCTTGGTTTGGACTTCAATGACAACACATACACTGAATACACAAATACACTTTATTGAACATGTACAATAATTAAGACATAAAATAAAAATGTAAATAAAAACTTACTTTAAATGAAATGGCTTGTTTATTGGCTGTCTTAGTCCTATCTCTTTAAAATAACAAACACTGTACTTCTCTCCATATTTAGGCAAAAACAGCTTTATTTATTTATTTATTTATTTATTTATTTATTTATTTATATTTCTACTTTCATTTTGGTTGTCTTTTATTACTTTTGTTTTGATTTCCAACATGAATCCTCTCTGTATTTAACAAGTTTTTAAAGACGTATGATGGAGTTATAATGCTTTGTTTTGTTATTTAATTTTTAGGGTAATTACAGCTACTGTATATATCTGTCTGTTTGCATCCCATCTCATTGTGCCCCCTGGTGGTATTGTTGCAAACTGCTGTTATACCTTAAAACATTTTCGTAATCCCTTTGTCCCGCGTCAGTGTCACATGTGGTGGTAATGGTCATTTTTGGTCACTCACTGTACATATACTATAAACTGCAGGTTAACTGTGTGTGTGTGTGTGTGTGTGTGTGTGTGTGTGCGTGTGTGCGCATGCGTTGGGAGTAACATGGCGATTGCTCCCACGCGCAAACATGCTGCACTAAACAAATAAATTTAACCATCTACACCCGTCGTAACTGCCGTCGTGAACGCAGAAGGAGCCCAATGTGAAACAATTCAAGTGATGTGCCTAATTGCAACGCTGAAAACTGCGGTTAAGGACGCCATAAGAAGCGGCAAGATTTACACCCGCGGACGAAACGCTTTTCCTAAAAGAAATCACACAGCCGCTAACTTAACACACTTTGAACAATATACCCGTCCGCTCTCTGAACAGGAATGGATGTGTTTTCAGGCACAAGAAAATGAGTTCAGAGAAACTCTGGACGTGAAATTAATGAGCGATAAACAAGTCATATTCTTTACCGGTAAAGATCCGCGTCATTGGACAAAATTAATATCCATCCTCTGTGGAGTATATTATAAGAACGGAACTTACACAATAGTGCACAAAGACGGACGGCCACTAGGCCTGCCTTTGTTGAAATATACAGCGAGAATTCTGAGAAAATTCCCTCTTTGTGGAGCATTCCCATTCGAATTTGAACAGCACACACTCACTGAATGGATAGATCACCAGCTGCGCTACATACGGAAAACTATTCAACCAGCGCTCAATAGAGCGACAAAATCCAGCAGAGCGAGAGAGTCAACTGAGGTGAGCCAAAATGAGCTCGTTTATCTCTGGAAACATCGTAGAGGTAAAGCCATTGACATCATCTTAAATAATAGTACTCACCCGATTCCTCCTCCTGCCATAAGTGATGTGTCTAAGGTATATGAATACTATGTTAAGAAGTGTGGACCGAGGCAGCAGCATCACCAGCGCGACAGCCCCCCATGGTGTGGCATCCTTGGCCCGGTTGATATCAACACACAGCCCAGAATTTCCAACTTCACCACAAATGAAATCACAGAAGTGCTTCTCAGCCTTCCCAACAACAAGGCTTGTGGAGCTGACGGGGTAACTTATGAAGTGCTTAAAGCGACAAAACACTTTACAGCAACGACGCTAACACAGATTTTCAATGTCTGCTTAATCAATGGAAAAGTTCCTGATTTGTGGAAAGGAGCCATCATCCACAGGATTCCCAAGAAAGACAACATTCCGGAAGACCCCTCCACCTGGAGGGATATATCACTGCTGCCCTCCATTTACAAGGTATTTATGAAATGCATTGTAAATCGTATTCTGCCTTGGCTTGTGGATTCTGGTATACTATCAACAAAGCAAAAAGCATATATAGAGAGGCAAGGAATGAACGAACATGTCTTCTGTTTGAAGACTGCTATTGATGACTTTAAACACGAGTCCTCACGCTTTTTTGCTGTGTTTCTTGACTTTCGGGATGCTTTTGGGTCTTTACCTCATAGTGAAATGATTCGCTCTCTTGAAGAGATAAAACTGCCAGAGCAGTACAGACTCATAATTAAGGATGTATATGAGAAATCCTTTATACAAGTAATGTGCGGACAGCAATTGACAAAACCCATAAAGCTTACAGTTGGAATTAAAACAGGCTGTCCTTGGAGCGCAGTGAATTTTATTCTAGCATTAAACCAATGGCTGAAATGGATCTGCCTCCTCGCCCCGCCCGATGTCATATCTCCGAATCCCGTCCAAGCCTACGCAGATGACGTCGTCTTAGTGTCAAGAGAGGAAAATGTCATTACCAATATGTTGTCAGACACTGACCGCTTTCTGCAGTGGTCTGGACTCGAGGTGAAGAACAGCAAGTGTGCAGTGTTTTATGAACGCCGATCCGGCGGCAACAGGTGGTACAGAGCCAAATATGACCATCCTCCTGTGTTCACAATCTCAGGAAATGCGATCAGAGTTTATGCCAGACATGAGACTTATAGTTACCTTGGACATAAATTTAACGTAGCTGGAGAATGGCAAGAACAACTGAATGAAATCTGCAATGAATATTTTAGCAGACTGGACAAAATAGATCGCTGTCCCCTACCAGCCTGTCTAAAACTTCAAGCAGTTCGTGAGATCGCTCTCTCCAAAATACAACATCTGTTTGCTAACGTACACATCTCAAAGAAAGCTTTAAAGCAAATGAATGATAAGGCTGTGCAGCTGGCGCGAAAATGGCTATGTCTTAATACACACACGACAAGAAGTATTTTATTCACTAATAAAACAGAGGGCGGACTCGGGTTTCCCAATATCGAGTGGATCTACACAGCTACTAGGATAAACCATCTATTGCACATGTTGAACAGCGATGACCCGACAGTACAAAGGCTAGCCCGGAGCTCACTCCTTCTCAGGGCCGGATTAACCAATGGGCCTTATGGGCACAGGCCCAGGCGGGGCCCGTGCGCACTAGGGGCCCCTGCGAGGGGGGAGAAAAAAAGACAATTTCGGAGTGTCTTTTTAGGCTAATTGCAAATAGCGCATCCAGTTGAACTAAGCTATTCAGGGTTTACGCCTATCGATGCCTGATTGATAGAGACAAGATGAGTAAAGAGCAGTGAAATAATACAGTCGCAGTGGCGCACCTTGTAAGGCACACAGCATCAACTTTTGACGCGATTATACATAACATCGGTTCGAATCCACCATCAGTTGAACTCGTGCTACTTTTTTTTCTCCCCATTACATATCAGATTGGAAATATATTTATTTTTAACAGGAAAGAAACATTTTTTTAAAATAATGCAAATGTGATATAAAGTCACAAGTGTCTCGTGGGTATTTAATAATGTTTAGCCTTATTATAGGCGCCTGCCGCGCCTCCCTCTCTTCAAAAACTCGATTGCTCAGACAACTGTATTTCCTCTGAGCAAAAAAATCGCGATCACATATTAATATTATTATTATATTTAAATTGCCTTTCTTTCTTTAACTAAAAAGAATGCTGTAATTGGTCAAGCGCGGAAACGTCAGATTTGTAATAACCCGCACTAAACTGAGCGGACTTTATCTGTCATAGATCAAAAATGAGTGGACAAGTGGATTTAGCGAACGCGAGAGAAAGAAGAGAGGAGGCATCTTTATTGAGGCATTTTCCATACACACCTTCTTTAAACAGACCCGTGATCAGGAGAATGAGGGTACAGAAGAAGACGTTAACTTTAAATGATGAGTAGCTAGCATTAACCAGGCAGAGGAGGCTAACGGCAGCGCAGCGCGGACTGGATTCATCGTGTGAGAGACAGACAGAAAGGGAGAGAGAGAGGGAGAGAGAGAGAAAGGCCCAGAAGAGGAGAGAGAGGGGAGAGAAGAGGTATAGTATCTGTGATTTCGGATACTTTTAGGTTTATAATCAAGTTTTCATCACGAGAAGAGTAGAGAAAATACAGGGAGAGGAGAGAGAGAGTAAATCAGTGTTTGTATTATGAAAGACTCAGATTCATAGAACTGGATTGGAGAAGCATTGTGTGCGTTATATGCCATGGCAATAATATGCTTTATAAGTTTGTAAAAGCAATACACTAAAATACCCTTAAAAAAAAAAAAAAAAAAAAAAAAAAAAATATATATATATATATATATATATATATATATATATATATATATGTAGTTTTATTAGTATTTTTATTTAATGCTTTGAAAAATAATTTAAATCTTTGCAGACTATAAATACATATGTACTATATATCATTTATTTAAATATGTGGGCAACAAATTATAGATTAATTTTATTTAAAAATTATTATATTATTCTTATTTTTTAAATTCAACTATTGGGGTGCGGCCAGGTAGGGGGCCCTACAAGATAATGTGCCCAGGGGCCCCTGAGTTCTTAATCCGGGCCTGCTCCTTCTGGATCTGGGTAAACGCAAGGTGCCATATGCAGCTGAAGGAGAACCAAGTTTCTTAGGATTCAGAAAGAAACTCAATGGTAGGCTGGATACAGCGTCTGTGGGATTTGGAGTGCGCTCAGACTGGCCGGACCTGAATGACTTGTGCAGCAGCAATAACATACAGCTGAGCTGGAGGAACACGAGCGGACAGCAGGTGAAAGTCAGCGATGAGGCGATCATGGACATTGATAACACATCTGCTGAAGCAACTTTAGATAATGGTGGAGAAAAGAAGGAGCTGAAGGGCAGGACGTGCAGGTATGAGATTCTCCAGCACTTTTACACACAGCAGCGCAGTTACTGGACTCATCTGCGGCTGCAGGGC